ACCTGACACCGTGATACCTCGTGTATTCCGAGCTGCAGACTAGGATGGAGGCAGGGGTCTGAGTGGATTCTGTCACCTGTTACTCCCATCCCACCCCGTAGGAAACCATGCTCCCACAATCTCTGCTTGCAGTGTCCTCCCTGCCTACCCTCAGCAAATCACAGCTGAAAAGATAAAATGGAAAATGCCAGAAATAAGCAACTCATGTTTATTGTGCGCTGCTCTGAGAAATGATAAAATCTCACACCTTCCTGTGCTATCCTGTCCCTGGACACGTGTCACCCCTTTGTCCTGGTACCCACACTCTGTCCACCCCTTCAGGTGTGGGCGGGGACCCAGCTTTGGTGTACTCCACACAGTGAGGGTGTCTGTGTCATCTTCGTGGGACTTAGGAGTCTAATCAGGCCCCTTATCAGTGCTCGCCTTTCCTGAGGCTGGTTAATTTAGAAAGAATGCAAGCTTATTTGGCTTACAATTCTGAAGGCTGAGAAGTCCAAGACCATGGTACTGGGATCTGGTAGGTCTTCCTGCCGACAGAACTTGACCGAGAACACAGCCTGGGAGACGAAGCAAGAGTGCGAATTGGGGTCTCTGCTTTTTTTATAAAGCCATTGATGCTATTGTGAGGTCCCCACCCTACAACCTCCCCTGACTCGTGACTTTGCAAGTGTTTCCCCACCAAATGCCAACACTATGAATTTGAGGATGACCTTGAACTCTGGGGGACACATTCAAACCACAGCCATGGTAGAGGCAGGTGTCCACCTCGGATGTAGTTTGCATTGACATGAATGATGGAATTGAGGCCTGGGTTCAGGTTCTGACAATCTAAGCAGGCTTCTCACTGCACAGACATGATGTGAATTACACTGGGGGTGTTCACTTGAGAATCATGGTCCTGGGCCCAGTGACCACCAACTGATCATTTAACTTCCAGCCTAAGATTTGTCCTCTCCTGGATACTGATGACCCAGCCTTCGGAGACCATATCTGTGCCTGCTGCCGGCACCCTCCAGTTCTGTGGCCGTGAGCCGCGTGTGAGCACCAAGACCTGGAGTGTGGCTAGTGTGACCGAGGAATGGAATTTTTAGTTTTATTTAATCCTAATTAGTTTCAGTACCCACATGTGACCAGCGGCTGCCACATGGAGAGTCCAGATCAGACTTTCAAGCTGGGATGCGCCACTGCTGAAATTCACACATTTATTTGAAGTGTTGAGCAAAGAAAAGAAATGAGTAGTGGAGAGGGAGAAAGAGACGGGAGACCCTGTGGGCACACAATGGGAGGCCGTCTTGGTTGAGTGCCCGGGATGTAAAAGAGGTCTGGGTTCCCCCGGACTCTCCTCCTGGAGCTGCAGATGTGCACTTAAAGGCAGGCTAACTGAGCTTCAGAGAGGTGCAGGGCTTGGTGGGGACTGAACAGAACCCTGCACTGCCGGACCCTGTGGCCCCCGGAGGTCCTTGCAGAGGAGCTGGGATGGTTACAGACCAACGAGGCACTGATAGACAGGGACCCTGGCTCCAACCTCCGCAGGGCCTGGACGTGGTCCTGCTGGCTGACCTGGCAGCCTCCTGGGCCCCAGTCAGGGCCCAGGGTGAGCACTGGCATGTGGCTGCCGGGGCCAGGCTTGCATTGCCTGGTGGGATGTGAGGCCAGGACAAGGAGAGGAATCTGGAACAGGGAGGCTCCCAGAGATGCTCCATGGGATTGAGGGAAGAGATCTGTGTCACTGCCTGGGAGGACAAGGTTGCAGGGACTTGTTCTCACTGGGAAAAGCCAGCTCTGCTTTATGTATAAACGTAATTTTTTTGCATGGCTTTAATACACAAAGAATTTGTCAGTGCAAGACTGTGTGAGCTGAGGGAAGGTTGTACTTTGTTTTCTTTGGATTTTCCAAGAGTTGCACGGCCTTTCAGAACCAGATCACGGTGACAGAAGCCCTTGTGGTCCTTATCCAGCTAGTAAACAAGGCCTGCGTGCATGGGGAGCACTTCCAGTTCCATCCTCATGAGTCTGTGCGTTCCTCTATTTATCCACCCACCCATGCATCTTGCACCTACCTATATTTTCTTAGCCCTTATTTCAAAATGCTAAAGTCAGGAAGACTGTCAACAGGGTTTAAGTGAATATTACCTTTCTCCCGTTGAATTCAAACATAGTAATTACAAGTAGGTTCAGTATTAAAACTGCAATATGCCTGAGTATTCATCTTGAAATGTATATTATAAAAATTACTTTTCTTTCTGGTTTAACTGTTAGGACGTCATCACATTAATTTTTCTACAGTAGATATGAAAGCAGGGTATATTATTAATCTTGCTTATTTTGGGATAGCATGAGTGATGTTCTAAAATATCCATCTATCCTAGCTAGACTTCTGCCATGGTAAGAAAATACCTGAGATAGTTAACTTATGAAGAGAAAAGGTTGAGGCTGAGGTTATAGTTCATGGCAAAACGTGTGTGTGGCAGACAGAGGCCCTGAATTCAATGCCCAGTATGGGGTGGTGGCTGGTAAGGAAAGGGAGAAAGAGAGACCTGGAGAAAGAGAGACAGACACACAAAGAGAAGAGGTTTATTTTTGGCTCATGCCTTTGGAGGTCCTCGTCCATGGCAAGTTGCACCTGTTGCTCTGGCCCTTGAAACAGCATGCAAACGAGCATGCATGTGGCAGAGCACAACCATTTGCCTCCTGGCCAGGAAGCAGAGCAGGACAGAAGCCGGGGCCCACCAATTCCCTTCAGGACCATGACCCCAAAGGCCTCCCTTATTCCCAAAAGGCCCCACCTTTCAAGGTTCTACCACCTCCCAAAAGTACCATGCTAGGGACTAACCCGCATGAGTCTCTGGGGGACCCTCGAGGTCAAATTATAGCACTGTATAACAAGGTATCCACCTGTCAGGGCGGAGTCCTCTGCTCTGAGGGACAGAGAGGCCACGGGCAGGAAGAGCTCAGCTCCAACAGTGCCTAGAGCATCTGCGTACGGGTGTTTAAGCATTCACTGAACTTCAGATGTTTGCTGAAGATCTGAGCCAATTTCTGACTACATCCGCAGAGTATATTATTTAATTACCATTTGCCTGAAATTACCTCATTCTTTTTATTTTTTTTCTTCTTGTCATGCTAGTGATCAAACCAGGGCCTCCCATGTGCTAGGCAAGTGCTCTACTGCTCAGCTACACCCACAACCCACAACTCAATTTAAGTAATTTTAAAGGGAAGTCATCACTGTCATGAATGTAAAACTGAAGTTGATTGATATGCTCCTTAATTTCCTTGGCAGAAATTCAAATCAATGCCTGTTAAAACACACACGTGCATCTCCCCCTGCACACTATGCACGCATCCACGCAGCCCTGTCCATCCACCTGTCACCTAAAAGCATCTCACATGCTAAGGCGGGCAGGAGCAACACACACTTGAAGCTTGGAGTCCGTTCATGTCGTCTTCAGCGCAGGGCAGAGTCCCCTGGCTGTTTACTGACCAGTGAGTGGGTAAAGTGTCACAGCAAAGATAGGGTCCTGCAGGGCAGAACCCAGGTGTGGTGGCTCTTGAGACCTGACTCTTTGCACCCCGATACTGAGGGAGGGGACTGTCAGATGGAACCAGAACTGCCAGGACCCTGGGAAGGAAATAACAGCAACATCTGGCCCTTGTTGGATTGTGTAAGCCACTGGGCTGGCAGCCAGTTGTGGCCACAGCCTCTAGCAGGAGGAAGACTTCAGAGCCTCCCCCCAGGGCTCTGGGCGGCGCACAGATGTGGCCAGCTGGAGGGGACACCCAAAGGCATGAGAGCACTCCGGGATCTGAGGACACGCGGGTGAGAGGGAGGAGTGGGTGGCTGGCGGGGCCCACCTTTCTCAGAAGCAGAGGCACTCGGCAATGCAGGCTGGGAGGCAGGCGTCTGAGCCACTCCCAGAAGGCCCCGCTTCCCCTCATGGCTCCTAAAGCAAAGTGGCCCCGTGGCCACAGTGGGTGCAGGTCAGGGGAGCAGGGGCAGGGAGGCTGGGCTGTCGCTGGTGACTCTGAGGGTCCCGGGAAGGGTCCCGCAGAGAGAGAGGAGCAAAGAAGCACCAGAATCAGCAAATGCTGACCTCCAGACAAGCACAGCACCCCTGACTCTTCTTGGGGCTGCTTCTCTGCAGCCATGTTTAATTTCTTGGAACATTCCAAGGGATGTCCTCATCCGTCCCACTCTCTGAATGGCTCTATCCTCAGCGGCTTCCTCTTCCCGACTTGGTCACATGTGACATGGAGTCACCTAACGAGGCCAGCAGCTGCCGGGTGGTCCGGCAGAGTTTGCTTTCCAAGCTTTCCTTCTGCCTGGTGCTGCTGGCCTAGAACCAGTCTCAGCCCCCCTCCCACCCCGTTTCCAGTGTGGGACCTGGGGGGAGGCTTCCTGCAGCTTTCTGCATGTCACTGTCCCCTCCTGTGCAATGGGGACAGTGAGGTCAGTGCCCTTCTGGATCACTGGAAGGGAAAATGTCTCCAGCTCTGACCACAGTGCCGGGCAGCCAGCTAGACGTGAAAGCTGCGTCATCATCCTGGCACTGTTTACGCAGGAAGCCACACCTGCAGCGGGGCTCTGGACTCCAGGGCTGGGTGAGGCTTGAGGGGCTGCTAAGCTCTGCTTTTGAGAGTTGGGCTGTATGATCTCATGTTCCTGTGCTCCTGTTCTCTGGGCTGTGGGCTGGAGCCTTTGGTATACAAAGGGACTGTCACGTCCCCACTTAAACCTCAGCTAATGTGACTGAAGTGCTAGTCGCTTGGCCTGACATCGTGGCAAGAATCCCAGCCAGGGGATTATCACACGGACTGGTGCTCCTAAACCAGATCCTCTTGCCTTGGTTGCACTGGGGAAGCCTGGACATAAAACTTTTGAAGTCAGAGTTCTGGGTTTAGAAATCACACTCTAGGGATACCCCTGGCTTTAGGCAAAGCCTGTCCCAGCAGTTCACGTGATTCCTTTCTTCGCATCTGATCTCTTCTCTTGCCCACAGGGCAGAGGGAGGCCAGCGTCCAACCCCTCCACGAGCCAGCCCTGAGCCAGAAGGCAAGAATGACGAACCCGAGGACATTGGGGCCCAAGCCCCAGATGCCTCTCCAGAGGAACCCTGGCACTCAGACAGCAGCTGGGGGAGCAGAGTCCTGGATGAAGGTTTGTCCCAGCTGCCAGCCTCGCCGCCTGGTGCATGGCAGGGGTGGCTATCCCCAGTCCTGCTCTCGGGGACTGCCTACCTTGGTGCTATGTTGTGCTGCGGCTGTTCCAAGACAGAGCCTCGACCCCAAACTGCTCAGGGAAGGATGCTCACCCCCAGGGCCCCTATCCTGGGGCTGCTGTCAGCAGGACCTGGCCCTGAAGCAGCTGGTGGATGTGAGGCCGCCTGGAGGGCGCTGAACAGATGCTGTGTCCCTGTCACTTATCCTGTCCTCAGAGCCCCTCAGCTGCTCTGCCTCAGCAGCACAGCAGTGTTTGTCATCTACACACACAGGGCTATAGCATCAGGAGACACCCAGCATGTAAAACAAGCCATCAGTCCCGGAAACACACTCATAATCCAAAAGTTACAAAGACCATGGTTCTGTCTGCCTGGGTGCTTCTTAATCAAAACAGAAGATTCCTGAGCACCTCCAAAGGGAAAAGCCAGGCAGGAGCAGTGGGTGTCCAGGGTCCCTGAGTCTGAGGTCCCTGCACCTGCCTGGTGGCCAAGAGCACCCAAAACCCAGGCCACCTTGACCTCCCACATAGGGGGCAGGGAGCACCTCGATCTATGATGTTTTGGTCACTGTACCAGGTCAGACATTGCTTGCCTGCAGATTGTGCAACCCAAACCAGCAGAAGTTCAAAGCAACTTAGCAGTTCACATAGCGAACTGCTAAGAGTCCCTGTGCCAGATCCCAGGGGAGGGCTCTAACTGGCCAGCTCCACTACCAGGCGGGTCACATGGAGGGGACAGTACCAGCCAGGGTGGCCTCACCTCACAGGAGATGGGACTCAAGGAATCGCTTTCTGGAGAAGGGAGAGAGGGTGCCAGAGCCCTCTCCCCTGACCACTTGTGGGGTTTCCTCTGCAAGGTCTGCTGTCCATTCTCCCAGTGACCAGTCCCTTGTTCCCACGTTTGTTTCTCCTGCAGAAGATGAGCAGCTCTTCCGCTCTGTGGAGGGCCAGGCTGCCTCTGAGGAAGAGGAGGAAGAGGAGGAGGAGAAGTGGCAGGAGGTGGAGAGGCCGGTGGCCCAGGCTGAGGCCTGGCCCTTGGGCTGCGGGAGTAGGTAGGTGCAGCGCCCCGGCCAGAATCTGCTGCTGTCCCCCAGGGTAGCACAGGTTGCCAGGGGACCCCAGAGCTTCAGGAAGGTGGGGCCCGTCTGCAGGTCCCTTCACTCAGTGTCAGCTGGAACTAGGAGGTGAGGGCTCTCGTTCCCATAGAGGCTCCATCACCTGCTGGCCTCTAGGGGCCTGTGGTGTCAGAGGGAAGAGAAGAAACCACATAATACAGTGAGGGGGAGAGATGGGCTTCGAGGAGTCACTCTGTGGCCAAGACATGCTGCAAAGCCAGGCCCGTTGCCAGCCCACTACCCCCGTGACACTGTGTGGCTCCTGCCGGCCCAGCCCTGCTGTTGCTTTCTTATCCACACACAGATTTAATTCTGTGTCCAATCTGGAGGGGGACAGGGACAGGCCAAGGTGTGCCTGCGCACCTTTGACCAGTCACCTGACTTCTCATCTTGAAGGTAGGTGGGCACAGGCTTTGTGCGGACTCCAGATCAAGATGTGAAATACCTGGTGGTTGCCTGATGCATAGTGAGGGCCCCCAGTGCACTTACTAGCCTGCTGTGAAAAGTGCTGTGCCTTTGCTGGAGTTGTTATCACCAATTCCTTATGTCCACAGCAAGTGCTTATTAAGTGCCTATCACATGCCCATCATGATGTGAGACACAAAATATCAATTGAGGCAGCAGTCCTGTCTGGTTCCCGTATCAAGTGAGTGGAGGAGTGGGGAGAGAGCCAGAGCAGAAGAGAGACAGCAAAGTACCATACAGGGCTGGGGATTCTGGGAAGGTTCTATTTGAGCAGAAAGCCAATGAAAATGAAGCAATGCACAATGCAGATGTTGGGGCAAGAGTGGTCCAAGAAGTGGGACCAGCAAGTGCAAAGGCCCTGAGGTTCATTGGCGGGACAGTAGGAGGCTACTGTGGCTGGAGCAGAGCTAGTGGAGGGGGGGGGAGGGGGATCAGAGAGGTCTTGAGTGTTCCGGGTGGTGCTGAGTGATGGTGCTGCAACCAGACTTCAGGAAGCTGGGCCAGCATGGAAGGTCAGGCCCGCTCTCCCAAGTGGAGCAGCCTGTGCCCAGCCCTTGCAATGCTTCATGCTCTCCCTTGCTCAGGTGTGACCACCAGATGGCCAAGAAGCTGCTGATGTACCTCAGCTGCCGTGGTGACGCCGAGCACACCTGCTCCCCCAGAGAGCTGGAGGCCCAGGTGGCCAGGCTGTTGGAGCAGCTAGACATCCAGGGCTGTGAAGGCGGAAAGAGCCTGGGGCCATGCGTGGAGGAGGTCAGTAGGGCCCCAGGGGTCGCAGACTCCACCAATTGCAGAGTCTCTTGTTGCTGGAAAAGCTCTTAACCCATTCCTGAGGGACTGGGATTGAGAGATGCGATTTCCTCTGATTTAGATTTAATGAGATGCCTTTTGTCCCCAAGTTAAAGGATCCATCTCAGGCATGCCCAAGTGCCAAACAGGGATTTCTGAGACGGGCAGAGCTGGATCCAGGGCTCACACTACAGGGTGCTCACCTCCAGCTGTGCCTCGCCCTGGGGCCCTGCCTTACTGTCCCTGGCTCAGGGAGTCTCCGAGGGCTGGCAGCTTCCAGCAGCCCAGATGAAAAACCCAGCAAAGGGCGTCCCACTGAACCCAGGAAGTCTCAAGCAGCGCTCCAATTGGCTCAGCCTCCATCACATGTCCAGCCCCGGCCAGTCTGTGCGGTGGGAAAGTGGATCCTCCTGGTCACTTGTCCTGTACAGGACATTCTGCACGGGGAAGGCAGGCTGGACACGCAGGCACACGAAGCTGGCCCTGCTTCAGTGACAGCCCTCGGCGTTTCACTCTGGGCCTGCACAGCCCCTGCTTCTGTTTCCACGTCACAGGAATTGGGTGTGTCAAAACCAGACATAGTAGAACACACCTGTAATTCCAGCACTTGGGAGGCTGCAGCAGGAGGATCTTTGCAAATTTAAAACCAGCCTGAGCTACAAGTGAATTCAAGGCCAGTTTGAACTGTGTAGTGAGACCCTAGCTCAAAAACAAGACAACAACAACAAAAAAACCCCAGGTCTTTGGAGATTTAGCTCAGTGGTGTAAGCACCTGCTGGCAAGCATGAGGTAAGTTCAATACCAGTACCAAAAGAAAACAAAACAAAAAACAGAATTGGGTGTGCCAAGCTGTGACAGCTGTTCTCACGCTAAGCTTTGGCTTCTGTAATGTATGGTTTAAATAGAAGATAGATTTATATTTTCATATCTGAAATTCTAAATCTGTGCTTTTGGGTTTTCTTTTTCCCTGTCCTAGGGATTAAACCCAGCAACTAACACATGCTAGAGACGTGTTCTAACCCTGAGTTACATCACAGCCCTCTTAACTTCTTTTGAGACAGTCTTGCTAATTTACCCAGGCTGGCCTTGAATGTGTGATCCTCCTGCCTCAGCCTTCCATGTAGCTGGGATTATAGGCAGGTACCATTGCACTGGGCTGTGCTATCTTTTAACAAAGGCCTGGTCTGATGCAGTTCTTGCTTCTTAAATAATAGTTTGAGAAGCAATGCCAGCCTTGGTCTCATTTTTCGCCCCAGGGTAGGGCTGAAGCACAGCACAAGGCCGGGGGTTCCATCCCCAGCACTGAAACAATAATTTTATGTTCTAAGAGCCAGCTGAGGTAAGCAGTGATGTGAAGAGGTGACGGCCAGGAGACCATGGCTTTCCCTACACCAAAAGCGCACCCAGGAAACCAGGTAGCCACGTCCCTCCACAAGGAACGGAATAAAGATTGTGTTCCTGCTGACACTGAGCCGAGAGGGGAAAATGGGACCAGGATGATGGGATGAAAGGGGTCTCCTGCTTCCGGCTTCCCAAACCCCTGACTGGAGCCGGGGATGCCTCTCCTGTAATAAGCCCTGAAAACCTCAAAGCTGCCAGAGGGCAAAGTGACACCATTGTAAGGATTTCCATTGGCTTTGTTTGAGATTCTAGACCCAAGCACCACCTAACTGCATCTATCAGAACCAGCTTCCCAAGGAGCTGAGCAGGGGAGGCTGGGTGTGGAGACAGGAAAGGGAAGCAGGCTGGAGGTCAGAGGACAGAGGATTCTGGCAAGCTCGGGGCAGAGGGTGGACTCAGGAACAGAGCTCACTGGTTAAACCGGGTTACCTGAGTCTGTGTGTGTGTAAGGGTTAAGTCAGCGGAAATACAGTGACACCTCGGTTCACGAACTCAATATGCTCCATGGTTCTGGTTGTAAACCGAATTGGACAGGAACTGAATCAAATTTCCCCATCAGATCAACATCAACCTAACCACTGAATTTGATCTGGTGCTTGTCCAGCTTGGTTTGCAACCAAAATTGTGGAAAAAATAAAGTTTGTGAACTGAGTGCAACTGTACTTTATTGTGCCAAGGAGACTGGGAAATCTGACTAATAATTCTCTCCTGATTACAGGAGGCCACATAGCAACTTAGCTTGGGTTTGCTGTTATGGAAGTTTAGCACGAGTGACTCCATTTTTTAGCCTGTTCTGTTGAGGCCCAATATTGGAGGTTAGTCCAAAACAATAGCCTCCTGGGATTTCTATGTAACAAACAGAACCTGAATGGGAAGCAAGGCTGCTCGCCAGAATAGAAAGCCAGTGCTGATTGGGACAGCACAGTGGGCATGCGCTGGAGCCAGACTGCTGCCTTCAAACCCTGCTCTGTTACTTATGTGGGAAGGTTTACTCTGTCTCTGTTTCCTCATCTGTAAAATGGGCAGAATAATGTGCTATGTGTCACAAAGATGAATGCTCTCAGTATCCATGAGCTGTGATTTTCACTGAATGGATATAGACCCTCCTAGCAGTCTTCTGTGCTATGTGGATCTGGTGTGTTCTATTTGTTACCAGAGTCCTGTCCCTGTCTGTAGCTTTCTTGAGGCCTTGACCATGCCTGGCCAGGCACTGCTTAGGAAAGCCACAGCCCAAGGGCATATAGGAAACAGTGACCACCCAGTAAAAAATTGGCAGTCACAGAGTTCCCAAGGACACCTCCACTGCCGCTCTTCTGAGTAAATTTAAAAGCTGAAGGGGCTGGGACGAGCGAGCCACCTTCCCTTCCCCTTTTCACACGGGGGTTCTCCCCAGGGGCCTTCTCCCCTGCTGCTCAGAGTCCACAGTGGTAGCAGGAGGTGGCTACAGGGCTCTCTGTGACTGCATGCTGTCGCCAGCTCGTATCTTGGCTCTCTTGGTGGCCATGGGCAGTCACTAGTTGGGCCCCTTCTACCTGGAAGAGGCAGACAGGGTTGGAGAGTCTCTTGTTTAATTTTGGTTTTTGCGGTACTGAGGATTGAACCCAAGACTTGAGCTACATGCCCCAGATCTTGTTTTTGGTTTTTATTTTGAGACAGGGTCTTGTTAAGTTACCAAGGGACTCGGGCTGGCCTTGAATTCGAAGCCCTCCTGCCTCAGCCTCTCAGAATGCTGGGAGTACAGGCATTCTGACACCTCCACACCTGGCTATGGATATTGTCCATTTTCACAGTGGTTCCTGGACACAAGGAAGGCTTGGGATTCTCCTGCTGTCTCCACCCATGGCTGCCCCTTTCCCGAGGTTCTTTGCGCACAGTCCAGCCTAAGAACTGTCCCTAGCTGCCCGTACAGTCCCCATTTAACAAGCCAGATGGGTTTCTGTTGCTTGCTGTTAGCACAAATGCATTACACAGAAATCCAATGGCTACAGAAAGAGAGGCGTAGAGCCCTTGGACAGGGAGACAAACTACACAAACTTGCTGTGCAACCTAGGGCCAGGCACTCAGCTGACCTGGGTTGAGTACCCGGCTTGGGGAATCAGGGTAATTTATCTGCCAGGCACCTGACAATGAGTGGAGCCAGATGAGATGACATTCCCCAAGGGGTCAGGGAGGCCAGGGACCTTGCTGGGATGAGCACCAAGCCTCTTTCTCCCCAGGCAGAGCTGCAGCAAAAGGTGGCGGAGAACGAGCAGCTGCGGCTGGAGCTGCAGATGGTGGAGACAGAACGGGTGCGGCTGTCCCTACTGGAGGAGAAGCTGGTGGACGTCCTGCAGCTCCTGCAGAGGCTCCGCGACCTGGTAGTCTCAGGGCAGTTGGGCACGTGCGGGGAAGGGAGCCAGGCTCTGGGCCCTCCTCACAGCTGGCAGGTGCACCCCGCTTTGCAGATGTAGCATGGGGGTGCAGGGATGCCATGGAGAGTAGGTGGGCAGCTCCTCAGGTCATTTTTATGAATCTAATGTAACTTGTAATCTCAAGTCAGGAAGAGGGTAAACACAGAAAAAGGAAAATTATAAGTGAATGTCACATTTTGACACAGCTGCAGAATTATGAAAGAACCACATCTGGAAGCGTGTAAAGAAATGCAACCCTGGGCCTGGAATTTAGCTCAGTGGTGTAAGTGCCTGCCTGGCAAGCTCTAAGTTGTGAGTTTGATCCCCGGTACCACAAAAAGAAAGAAGAAAGAAAGAAAGAAAGAAAGAAAGAAAGAGAGAGAGAGAGAGAGAGAGCGAGCGAGAGAGAGAGAGAGAGGAAGGAAGAAAGAAAGTAAAAAAGAAAGAAAGGAAACAAGAAAGAAAGAAAGAAAGAGAAAGAAAGAAAGAAAGTAAAAAAGAAAGAAAGAAAGAAAGAAAGAAAGAAAGAAAGAAAACAAGAAAGAAAACAAGAAAGAAAACAAGAAAGAAAGAAAGATGCAATCCAGGGTAAGGGTGTGGCGCAGCAGCAGAGCCTGCCCAACACTCACAGGGTCCTGGCTTCCATCCCCAGCACTGGAGGGAAAAGAGGAAAAAAAGGTGACGTGGTTGGTTGGATTTCTCCAAGGAATTCTAGGGTGATCCCATATCACATAATTTTTTACCATGACACACCACATGGCAGATTAAAGGAGAAAAATCATATGATCATGTCAATAGATACTGAAAAGGCAGCTGATAAAATTCAATTCTTTGATTATAATCTTTTGCCGAGTTGAGGACAGTAGAGATCTTTCTTTGGCAGATAAAGGGAGTCCAGCAAACAACCATAGGCGAACTTATTTTAAAAGAAAAGAATTAGGAGCTTGGTTAAATTGCCCAGGATTATATAGCTGATACAAGATTGGGGTAGGATTTGAACCTGGGCTGCTTCTTCAGGCATCAAGCTGTCTGGGCCCTGGGCTGTCGTGGTCTGGCCCAACACCACAGGGCTTAGACAAACGGAGCAAGCAGAGGATGGGCCCCAAGAGCAGCAGGCGAGGAGGTCCCCGTGCCAGCAGGGCGTTGGCCCTGGCAGGCCGAGGTGGTGCGGGAGATGCTGATTAGCCTCTGATGGGGTGGCTCTGGGCTTGTTTCCTGTTCTTCCTTTGCATGCATTTTTCATTGCTTGGTTAAAATGGGCACAAGAGAATTAACTGTTGCAAGGATCACATGAACTAACACATAGAAACACTCCCTCAGTCACAGTCACCTCCTAGATGCCTGCTTGGGCACACAGTGCAGCCAGCCCAGGGATAGAGGCCAGGAGAGGATGACACGGGGGTCACTCTGTCAGTCCCTAGCTGTACAGAAGCTGCGGTAGGCCCCCAGATCCCAGCTGCTGAGTGAGGACGCGCATCACAGCCCTGGTCTGACCCAGTCCTGTCTCCGTTCTCCTAAAGAGCATATCGAAGAGAGCCCTGGGGAAGATTTTGCTGAGCACGCTGGATGGTTGCAAGGACCCCTCACAGGGTAGGAATGCACCCTGTCCCCTTGAGCCTGGATATTGCCCGGAGGGCTTCCTGATGAGCAGATTCCAGCACTCTGTCCCCAGTGTCCCCTCTACAAAATGGTGACACGCTCCTGCCCTGAACACCTGCCCGGGGCCCATCAGGAGCAAGCTTTGGAAAGCAAAAGCACTATTTAGTAAGAGCAGAGGTGCAGAGGCTGCAGGCAGATGTCAAATAGGAGCCTGTGTGTCACAGCCAGCAAGGGGGCTGGATGGGTGCATGGCAGCAGGCTGGGGGTGCCCAATTCCTGCCTTAACTGTGGCCCAGGCCCTGGAGAAACACCCCTGGTGTCTTTAACACTCGATCCTTACTACAGGACTAGCAAGAAGGAGTTCTTAGCCCCCTCCACAGATGGAGAGACTGAGGCATAGAGTATCAAGTGCTGGCCGTGCCTGCAGCCTTGGGCATCATCCTTAAGCCTGAAAGCCTCACAACCCTGCTGTTCAGGAAAAATCTCAGGGCAGCAAAGCATCCTGTGACCAAGGCAGAGCTCTGCCTCTGAGGCCACACTGGTGGGGAGATGGGGTGGGTGTGAGCGTTTGCCTCGGGCCCTGGGCATCCGGTGCCCTGAATGGACCCATGCCATCCACAAGAAAACAGGTGTGCATGCTAGAAACTCCTGTCGGGGTTTCCAGGGATGTGGTAATAGCTGAGTACCGGGAGGAGGGAGGCATCTCTGTGGGACAGAGTATGCAGCCTGACCCTACTTCCTGCCTGCCCTTCCTCTCCAGAGGGGAGGTCAGGCCCCCTGGCTGTCCTGGATGCCCTGCAGCAAGCCTTGGCGGGCTGTGAGCTCCTGCGGATGCCATCCTCAGGACCCGCCTCCACCGCCCCTGTGCTTGCCAACCCACTCCTCATCTCCTGCTGAGGTCTCTGGCCCAGCCTGACGGCTGCCATCGGATCAGCCTCCCCGGGCCAGCCTGACCTCCACCACGGGAACACCCAGCCCCGGGCTCTGGCAGCCACCCCTTCTCGCGCTCCTGTGGCCCCTGCTTATGCCTCAAGACTCCATCAGAGCCGAGCCTCTCCTGCACCACTTACACCTTCTGCTGCCTCCTGCCTCAGAGCACAGTGACCGCCTTCCCACCTAGTGCACCCCCACCCTCAGCCCGTGCGCTGCTGTAAGGGATCCTGCGCCTGACCTTCAGGGCACAGCTGGTCCAGTAGACACTCCCTTGACCCAGGAAATGCCCAAGACTCGGAGAGGCTGGAAGCTCCAAGGAGGTAGCCATTGCTGTGGGCTTCCTGTGAGAGCTGGTGCTGAGCTCATTCTAGAAAACAGGTAGGATGTGCATGGCCAAGGCAGGCGGGAAGGCCATGGGAGGAGCAGGAGTAAAGACGTGCTCTGAGCAGGGACCCCCAATAATGCCGAACCCGGAGCCCCTCCTTCCGGAACACACACTGGGTACTGGCAGGACTCTTGTGACATCGAGGGGAGATTAACACAAGGTAAGAGAAGAAGACGCGTTAGCTACAGGTACAGTGTGGGTAAAATCAGTGCTAGATCGAGGGAAAATAAAGAATTACGAGAACTCAACCCAGAGGGGTTTATGCGAGCCATGGAGGGCAAGGGTACCTGACACGGGTGTGGGTAGCAGGGGTGTGGGCACCTGGTCTGCTGCAGCAGAGGTGGCAGGAAGGGGCCAGGCATGGGGCCTTTGTGGCAGACAAGAATCTAAGACTTGATGCCATAGGCAATAGGGAGCCATGGCAGGCAAGGGTGGACTGGGGTCAGGGAGAAGAGTGCAGGAGGGGCGCCAGGGGACTGTGAGTGCAGGAGGGGCGCCAGGGGTCTCTAGGGGCTGAGTGGGGGTGGAGAGGAGCCAGTGGGCAGCCACTGTGAGGCCCAAGAGCGGCAGGCGGTGCTGGGCAGGGGCAGCAGAAGAGAGAGGGAAGGGAGGGGCTCATAGGGCATGAGTTTGACCCTGGCCGCAGGTCCAGTTCCTCAGACTCCACAGGAGGCACCAGGGGGCAGCACAGCGGGGCCATCTCTGGTGCAGATGGAGAGAGGCTGTCTGTCTATTGGAAGGCCCTCGGGTCCCCCTAGGCCCCATTCCCCTAGCTGTGCTGTTCACTAAGCTCTGTGTGGACCCCTCCTCAGTAAGAGGGCCGAGCTCGTGCCCTGCTCCTGCCCATGGCTCCGGGCCCCTGTCTGTGTGTGAGATCAGGTGTGAGGGGTGAAATCCACAGGGTGACCCAGGCAGAGAGGGGCCCCACTTCAATGGCTTCACCTCCGAGAACCCTGCTAGGCTCTCATGTGGGAGCTGAAGAAAAAAACCTGGGCCTCTGGCACACAGACACCAAAGCATTTGTGGTTTGTTTGTTTGTTTGTTTGTTTTGCAATCCTGGGGATCAAACTCGGCCAGATGTATGCTCATGAAGCTCTCTACCACATTGGTGCTTTGCTGATGTTGTTGTTGTTGATGATGATGATGATGATGGGATGGGATCTTGCTATTCTTCCCAGACGGGTCTCAAACTTCTAGGCTCAAGCAATCCTCCTGCCTCAGCCTCCTGAGTAGTTTGGACTACAGACATGCACCACAGAACCCAGATAATTACAGGACTACAAACACTTCCTTTCCTATTCTCTATGTCCCTTAACTCCTAACATTAAAGGCTGGTTTACTGGAGTTTGTTTTATCCAGCAGATCATGTGGGTCTTTCAGAAAACTACAAGACATACTAAAAGGCAAAACACACAGTATGAAGAAGCAGAATAAACACGAGAGCTAGACCCAGCTACATCAGAGGTTCTGGGATTATCAGAATGGGAATTTAAAACCACTGTAAGTGATCGGGAATGAGAAAAGCAGACAGCGTACAAGAACAAATGGATAATGTAAACAGCAAGATGGCTGTTCTAAGAAAGAACCAGAAGGAGATGCTAGAAGACAGAACCAGCATCACAGCAGTGCTGGACTTATTAGCAGACGGGGATGGTGAGGAAAGAATACCTGAGCTGAGAGACAACTACAAATATGTCACAATGCATGATAGGAACGTCAGAAAAAAGAAAAAGAAATACAAACAATAATCAAGTACTAAGAACCTGGAATTCTCCGCAAACATCAGACACCAAGCTGCAGATAGAGGAAGCTCAGGAAGCACAAGCAAAATCAATACAAGCAATAAAACATAAACTTAAAATTACAGCTTGGCATGTGATAATCCAACTGTGAAAAAAAAATCTTGAAAGAAGACACCTTAAAAAGCACCTTACCTAACAAGAGGAACAAACATAAGAATTACAGAGACCACGAAGGATGCAAACAAAGCGTACAGTGAAGTCTTTAAAGGGGAGAAAGCCTCAAGTTCATTGTCTTTCAAAACTCTCCTTTAAGGAGAAAGTTAAATAAACTTCCACAAACAGAAATTTGCCAGGGTACCTGGCTTTCAGGAAATGTTAAAGGAAGTCCTCTGAGAGAAGGAAGGTTTACAGGCCCCAAACTTGGATCTATACAAAGAAGGAAGAGAAGAGCTTTAGAGGAGATACATTAGTCACTTTGCCACTGCAGGTACAAAATATCTGACATGCTACAGTTTAGGGAGGACAGGTTTATTTGTTCATTAATCCATTTGTTCATTCATTTTGAGACAGCATCTCACTATGTAGGTCAGGATGGCACTGAACTCACTATGTAGCTCAGGCTGATCTCAAAATCATGGCAGTCTTCCTGCCGCAGCCTCCCAAGTGCTGGGATTATAGGTGTGCACCACCACATCTGGCAAAAGAGAGGTTTATTTTGCCCCACAGTTTTGAGACAGAAATGTCCAGACTCTCTTTCCATACTGCTGTGGGTTCCAACTGACAGCTGTCACCTCCCTCTCTCTGGGACCTAAGGGTGCACTGGATGTCCTCTGTCACACGGCAGTTACTCCAAGGACACCCTCTGGGCTATGCAGGCAGGTGGCCCAGCTCAGCTGACAGCCCCAGCACCCTTCTCCAGCTCCTGTACTCTGGGGAGCTGCTGGGAAACCACCCTTGACAACACCCTTGACATCAGGATGGAATTGGGGGTCCCACACCCCAAACCCCTCCCGGAGATGCCTGGGAAACAGGAGTCACAGCCTCAACTTCGCCGCCTTCTCAGGGGAGTAGCTGTCATTCAAGCAAGTGCTTCTGCTATGCCATGGACCTGTTGCCATGACATCTGGGTTGTCCTGGACCCCCTCACCCAATAATACATGCCATGATTATAGTTTATGTCAGGGAGAAGACTGGCAGCAATGACATGGGGATGAGAAAAGCAGTTAGAAATATTTTGTTATGATAAGGTACCTAGCCAGGATATAGCTCATAGGCACAGCACCTGTCTGGCACGTGTGAGGTCCTGAGTTCGACTCCTGGTGCCAAAAAAAAGACGAAGTAGTATAGTAGTATTTGAAAATATACTTGGGTTAGTTCAAAACTTGTACTGCAAATTCTACAGCAACTATTAAAAGAAGGGGAAAAAAAGTAGTGGTGGTGGCAGTATAATTGATAAATCAGAAAAGTAGAGAATGTGGAATCATATAAGATCTTCAATTAAAACCACAAGAGCGCTTGGAGCCTGAGACAGGAGGATCACAAGCTCAAGACCAGATTATTTAGTGAGATGCTGCTTTCTTTTTTTAAAGGTTTTTTGTTGTTGTTGTTGTTTTTTGGTACCGGTGATCAAACTCATGACCTCACACTTGCCAGGCAGGTGCTTGTGCCACTGAGTAAACCCCTGACAAGGTGCTTCTGCTTTCTTAAATGAATGAACAAAAAGCGTAAGAGTAACAAAAACAGATGCAATGAATAGAAAACAGTAACAAACAGTGCATATTAACCCAATTATACCACTGTCACCTCAAATATCAACGGTTTAACTATATCGGCTTGAAGACAGATGTTGTCATGTTGAAGGAAAAAGAAACAATTAGGTATTATCTATAAGAAATCCATTTTAGATATAAAGACACAAATAGTTTAAGAGGAGAGATGGGGGAAGATAGTAGCATGCTAACACTCCTGGAAAGACTGCCCGAATTGCTCTGTTACTTTCATGGAAAGCAGACTTCAGAATAAGGAAAACGATCAGAGGCAAAAAGAGCGTCGTTTAAGGAGAAAGAGGTCAAACCTCCAAAAAGACGTAACAAACCTCAGTGTATATGCACCTAACAACACAGTCACACAGACAGAGCTGCAAACAGGAGTAGGTGAATTCACTATTTTATGGGGAGACTTCACACCCTTCTATAAGAAATGGACACGCTCAGCAGGTAGAAAACCAGCAAAGACATAGCTGAACTCAGCAGAACCCAGCACCGGACGGATATAACTGCCACCAGCAGATCACTTCATTCTCATGCTCACACAGAACATTCTCCAAGGCAGACCAAACTCTGGGCCATGGAACACTCTTACCAAGTCTGAAAACAGAAAATGATACACTGCTCTCAGATGACAATGGAATTAGCCAGAAATCAATAACAGAAAGACAGCTGAAAAATCCTCACTTAGTGATTGAACAATTCTTTCTAAATAACACATAGCTTCAAGAAGATATTTCAAGAGGAATTTTTAAAGGCCTGAACTAAATTAAAATGAAAATATGCCTTACAAAATGTATGGGATACAGCCAAAAGCAATGCTTAGAAGGAAATGTAGAACATCAAATTCATGTACCAGAAAAGAACAAAGAACCAAAATCAATCATTAAGACTCTGCCTCAGGAAACTACAAAAAGAAAAGCAAATTTTAATTCCAAATTGATCAGGACTTTCAAACCTGGTCTATAGATTTGATCCAAAACAAAACAAAAGAAAAAATTTGAGCAGAAAATAATGAAATGGAAAACAGGAAATCAGGAGAGAAAAGCAACAAAACCAAAAGGAGGTTCTACAAAAAGATCAATAAAAGTGATGGGCTTCTCGCCAGGCTAATTAAAGAAAAACGAGAGGAGAAACCAGCAACTAATGACAGAAATGAAAGAGGGTACAACATTGTGGATCCCAAAACATCAAAAAGATGTCCGAGAAACAGTGTGAGTACCTTTAGGCCTGCAGATCTGATGGCCTATGTGGCATATGCAATGTTCAAAAACTCATATAAGACGTGGATGATCTGACTTGGCCTATGGCTCTTAAAGAATTTAATAATAAACTTCCCCAAAAAAAGCCTAGATAGGTTTGTTGGTCCATTCTATAGCCAGATTGTAAGAAAGACATTATACGAATTACTAACAATCTCTTCTAGGAGACATAAACACAAATATTTCCTCCTGACTTATTCCATGAGGTTAGAATTACTCTAACATTAAAACCAGACAAAGGCTTTACAAGAAAAGACAAGGGATCAATATTGCTCATGAATGTAGATTCAGAAGTCATCAACAAGTATCAGCATGTCAGATCCAATGGTGTATAAAAACAATCATTTACCACACAGCCATGCCAGAGAGGTACACGGGTTCTAATTGCAGAGAGGTGAAGACAGCATGGGCAGCTCAAGATGGAAGGTGGCTCACCCCTGTAATCCCAGCACTCAGGAGGCTGAGGCAGGAGGATCGTTGCGAGTTTAAGACCAGCCTGGGCTACAAAGTGAGCTCAAGGCCAGTCTGGACTGCATAGAGAGACCCTGGCACAAAAAGGAAAAAAAAAAAAGATGGAAAAGCAAGAACAGAACTAGGAACTAACACAGCCCAACCTGGAGATGTCTAGAGAGCTGCAGTCATCCAGACGGCACCGTATTGAAAGAGCGGTACAACAGAGCAGTGGGAGAGAATGGGAAGCCTAGAAATAGATCTAGTCAACTATCACTGAAACGGGAGCAAAGGCAACACAGCGGAGGAAAGGAAGTGTGCACTGAAAACTGGTACCAGGACAACCAGACATCTACGTGGAAAAATACCTCTCATGAAAATTAACTCAAAAGGTTCACAGGGCCAACATAAGAAAGCAAAAACTATAAAACTCCCAGAAGATAATACATGAAAAAATCTAGATGACCTTGGGGTTTGAGGATAACTGTGACTGATTGAGGAAATAACTGATAAGCTGAACTAGAACTTAACAATAATAGAACAACCTGAGGTAAAATGGGCACACCTATAATCCCAGCACTCGGTAAGGCTGAGTCAGGACAGCTGCAAGCTTGAACCCAGCCTGGGCAGCTTGGCAACTTAGCTAGACCCTGTATCAGAATAAAAAATTTAAAAAGGGCTAGGGATGTAGCTCAGTTGGGAAGACCCTGGGTTCAATCTTCAGTGCTGTAAAATAAACCTGACTTAAAAATGGGCAACAAACCTGAACAAACATATCATTTAAGAAGATATGCAGAAGAAAAATATGCATGGAAACATACTCAACATCACGTTATTAGGAAACTGCAAATTAAAACAATGAGATACTGCTGTGCACCTGGCTGAAGAGCTATAATCCAAAATACTGACAGGGATGTGGAGTCACAGGAACTCATTTGCTGCTGCTGGGAAAATGTACAGCCACTCTGGAAGACAGTTTGTAAATTTTCTTACAAAACTAAACATACTTTTACTCTACAACCCAGCAATCACACTCCTTGATGTCATGAAAAGACCTGGGGGAAGCTGGGCATGGTGGCGCACACCTGTAATCCCTGCATTTGGGAGGCTGAGGCAGAAGGACTGCCGAGAATTTGGAGCCATCCTGGACTACACAGTGAGTATAAGGCCAGCTTAAACTACATAGTGAGACCCTGTCTCAAAAACAAACAGAAAGACATGAAGGAAACTTAAACGCATATTACTAAGTCAAGGATGCCAATATGAAAACTCTCCAAACCATAGGATTATCACATGGGCTACCTTAAAGGTAGCGGTTGTGGGGAGTTAGGGGAAGGAAAGGATGAATTGGCAGAGTAGAGTAAAGGAAAAGAAGTTAGCCTGCCTTTCCCATGAGCCAGCGGCAGCCATGGGCCAGGAGAAGAACCAAGAAGTTGGCCTGTTCCCACCCACTGTGCAGGCCACAGCCTGATTCAGAGGAACACAGGCTGTGATGATACGAGCAGAGGTACAAAAACAACTTAATGCTTGTATTGACTGATTAACTTTGTAGGCCTGGGGCCGGTAGTCTAAGCATCTGTTAGGGGATTAACAATATGAATTAGAGCAACTATGAGTGATTTGTCTTATTTTTGAAATTCAATATTGTTCTGTTTTGTTTTGTTTTATTCCCTTCAGAAAAAAAAAGAATAAAGAAATAGTGAAAAAGAGACTAGACACAGGTGGCCTCTTTGCTGTTTTTGCAGAGCCTGGCACTGGGCCATTCCTGGGCCCCCTGAGCCTTGCTGACCTGCAGCCTGCACCAATTTCTCTTCCACCCAGTGGGGAGAGACTGGAGCTTCCCCCAACTCCAAGGCCTTGAGCTTTGGACGTGACCTTAACACCTGCCTGATGCCCTGCTTCGGTCCCTGCCACTCCCCACTGAGCTCAGATTGGCAGGGGGGGGGGTGTGAGTCCTCAGAGGCCCATGGAATTCCCTGCAGGAAGTCCTAGGTCACGGTCAACACGCCATCGGTGACCAACAAAGACCAGGCATGGGGCTTCCTTCTCACCTCCACATCTTCCTGACAAGGGCTCCTGCCTAAGGCCACACAGACCAATAGTAGAGCCAGGATTCAGGCTCTGCCTGACCCCACCCTATCCTCAAAACCCCACAAGGCCTGGCTTTCATCATGGTGAGAGGCAGGACCTGACTGACCAAGGCCCGGGCTCACTCATAGGAAAGACGGGAGAAGGGTCTTTCCCAGAAAGATGATGGCACAAAAGGCTGGGGCCTTATCTCCAAGGAGCAAAATATTGGGGTGCAGGGAGCTGTCATTGTGGGAAATGTGTTCCTTGGGGCAGATCAGACTAAGTACACAAATGCTCACCTTCACGAACCTTCACCAAAAACCAAGCCTCCTCTGATCTTTGGGCCTAAGTGTTAGTTACAACCATGACCCAACATTTTCTTGTCACTTAATAGCCCTGGAAACAACTGCTAACGAATTTGACCCTTGGCCAGGGCTGCTTATCTAAAAGCTTTAGACTTCTCTTGCTAGACGCCCTGTAATAATTTAAATTTGAAAATTTCTTGTGTAAGTATAGCCACAAGATCTTTCATACACTTCCTCCAAACTGTCTAATTCTCTTCCCACTCACAGTCTGTGCAGTGGTGCACACCTGTAATCCCCACACTCTGGGGGACCAAGGCAGGAGGATCAAAGGTTCGAGCCCAGTGTGAAGACTCTGGGTTCAGTCTCTAGTACACACACACACACACACACACACACACAAAGTGACCTGTATCTAACAAGCAGAATATGGCTGCCGTGTGTGGCTTCCCCTTTCCTGTTCTTCTCAGACACCAGTGGGAAACAGGGAGACACCAGCTGCCAGGTCACAGCACACCCATGTAGTCCAACCGAGGCGGCCACATGAGAGTCCTTGGATTCCTGTCACTGGTCAGCAATGAATTGCAACCTCCCATCAACAGCCATGGCTGCCATCTATGACACACCCCTTGTGGTCCTGCTCAAGTCTTTCCGGCATGGCAATCCTGCTGAGATCCCAGCCACAATACCCAGAGGTCTCTAGCAAGGGTGCTCCCAAAGTCTTGAGCCACAGAAACCATGTGAGATGGGAACAGAACTAGTGTTACTGTTTAAAACTGCCAGCTTGGGGATAGTAGTTATATAGCGGTAGATAACAAATACATTTCCTAACATAAAGTCATGTTTCATCGGAGCCCAGGGTAATGTGTGTGTGTGTGTGTGTGTGTGTGTGTGTGTGTCGGGTGGGGTGTTCAGGATACCAGACCCCATTAGAGCCTGCCACAATCACTAGCAGGTTGGAAGGAGGACAGGGTCCTCTAAGCTAAATGGGCATTCATGAGCACAGAGCTGCTGGGAGTAAGGAGGTCAAGGGTGTGAATATGCACTGATGGACAGGAGAGACGTGTGTGGGCAGAGGGGACCAGCCCTCACTCCACACATGCCCACTGTCCCACTACTCTTCAAATGCACAAATTCAGCTAAACAAACATGCTCGATTCCAAGATGGCAGCCCCAAAGCTTGAGATCTCGATTGCAGGGCCCTAGTAACTGGGGAGAGCTGTGCTGCACACTGGTCAACAGCCCAGGAGGCCAAGGACAAGGCCAACATTCTACACGTTTAGGAAAAACAGAAGAATTGAGTGTCTGCCAACAGACTCCCTTCTACCACGCTTCCTTTACCCTTTTCTAAAAAGGCTTACTTATGATTGTTAAAATGGTCCGGAACAACTTTTTTTTCAGGGGTATTTTAATGTCTTTTCTCTCCTCTTCTGACAAAAGTATTCTGTGGATCTTATATTCATGCCCATCAACCAAAAAATAATGTGATTCCACACTACAGCCACAAGGTGACATAGGCGTGCACTGCATTGAGGGCGATTTCCACATCACCTGTAAGCCAGTCAGAATGCGCCTTCCTTCAGGATTCACTGTACATTCCCATCGCCTGGATTATTATCCAGCTACTTAATATTTTTCTTGGGATCAGGTCTCTTTTTAACTGCAAATATGTTTTAAGAAAGAAGATGTACACCAGGCATGGTGGCTCAAATTCTAGCATGCTGGGGGCTGGAGCAGGAATATCACAAGTTTCAGCCCAGCCTGGGTCACTTGGTAACTTACTGGGACCATGTTTCCAAAAAGTGGGTAGAAGTAGCTCAGTGTGAAGGCTCTGGGTTCAATCCCCAGTCTCCCCGGTACACACACATGTAAAATTTCTATAATGTATTTGAAGAAACTTATGTCATCTGCCATACCAATAAAGGAATATCACAGCAAGGCATAGTGACACATACCTGCAAATGCAGCACTCTGAGAGGCTGAGCCAGGAAGATTGCAAGTTTGAGTTCATCCTGTTGAACTTAGCAAGACCCAAGACCATCTCTCAAAATCAAAAGCATAAAGCTGGGCATGATGTTGCACACCTGTACTCCCAGCACTTGGGAGGCTGAGGCAGGAGGATCGCTGTGAGCTTGAGAACTGCATGGGTTACAGGGTGAGTTCAAAATCAATTTAGCTATGTAGCAAGCCCCTGCTTCAAAAATAATTAAAATTAAAAAAGGGCTGGAGATGTGGCTTGGTGCAAAGAGCCTGCATTTCATTTATTTATTTATTTTTTTTTTCTTTATCGGTACCAGGGATTGAACTCACGACTGCCTGCTTGCAAGGCAGGTGCTTATGCCGCTGAGCTAAATCCCCAGCCCCAAAGGACCTGCATTTAATCCCCAGTGCTAGCAGGAGAAAAGCTAGCAAGCAAGTAACAAGTTGACCAAATGTGGTTGGCTCCTGAGCCCTACAACTAACTGGGGCCAAGCACCATGTAAAAGTACTGGTTTCTAGGACAGCCACACTGGGCTGGGTTTGATCCTTTTGATCACAAAGGACCCAACACTCCTTGCCCAGGGGCACCCAAGGGCAGCAGGCTCACGTTTTGTTTCCTGACAGCGCTCACTGCTCAGCTCACCGCTTACCAGTTTCCCACCAAGCCCTTGATGTGCTTAACTCCACGCTTGCAGCAACCCCAGGAGACGATTTGTCGGATTTTTTTGCATTTTACAGATTTGGAAACCGAGGCAGAGAGCAGCTGAGCCTGAGATGTTGGGACTCCAATCCCATCTTTTCCCTCTTTGCTTCCTGGCCACCAAGAGGGGAGCAGCTTCCTCAGTTTCTGCTTTGATGTGCGCCTTGCCGATTGCCTAAACTGAGGACTCCCGGGGCCAATCTCACAGGGTGGAAGGCCTTGGGGAAAATGTCAAGGGTGGGACTAGGAAGAGGGGGACACAGAGGCAAAGGCAGACAACATGCACCCACAGAGTAAGAGACAAGGAAGCTTAGGTCAGGAAGAAGCGGCGGGTGAGGGGACAATGGCAGAAGATGGACAGGGGACTCCCACTGAGGGACTTGACGGTCTTGAACGGCAAGGTCGAACCTTTGTGGCCAGAGACAGAGACCAAAACCAACATCACAATGGTCCTGGAGAGATGACAGGCAAGGCTAACGGCATTTATTAAACGGTGCCCGCCTGGGCCTGGGGTGTGGCTCAGTGTAGAGCACCTGCCTAGCATGTGCAAGGTCCTGGTCCCCTCCCCAGCCACACAGGTCACTGAACTGCTTAATAAACATTGCTTACGTGTATCAAATTACAATACAGTACCCTATGCATATCAAATTATCATCACTTGTACCAGTGTACTATGTAAAGAGGTACAAATGTTACATCTCAATATGACAAGAATCAGAAAAGAAAGAAGAGTACAAAAAAAAAAGACAAGGAAAGGAAACAATGGGAGTATACAACTGTAATCTCAGCAGCTCGAAGGCTGAAGCAGGAGGATCTTCAATTTGAGCTCAATCTGGACTACATAGCAAGTTCAATTCGGGCCTGAAATTGGTGTCAGAAAAAAAAGAGGAAGAAAATGGGCCAAGTCACAGGGGGCCTCACGGGCTACGGAAGTGGGGAGTGAAGAAAGCTAACAAAGACAGAGCCAAGAGCCGTAGCAGTAGAGAGGAGACACAGTTACCTGCTGAATACTTTTGGTGGCTGAGATGACAGGAATGACTAACGGGCTAGACAGGACAGAGGGACAACTCTGTGGAATTCTGTGAGGAGATATGCAGAAAAGTCATCTGGTAATGGCAGAAAGGGGTGGGACGAGGGGAAGATTTGTTCACCATGTGAAGGAAGCAGAGGCGGAGGGAGAGAGGGCACCTGGAGAAGCGGGAGGGGGACCCAGTGCAGAGCATAAAAGCAGAGACTGGCTTTTCCTCATTGCCCCTGTGACAAAAGACCCCAAATCCACAGGCATCAGTGAATCAAGTTTTTGAGGATTGAACTCACAACCTTGTCCTTGCCAGGCAGGAACTTATGCTACTGAGCTAAATCCCCAGTTGTATTTTCTTATGTTGTGAGCCACACATCCAGGCACCATGCATCTTGGAATTCTCTCCACCTGGCTTTTTTTTTCTTTCTTTCTTCCTGCCTGCCTGCCTTTTTTCTTCCTTTTTTGAGACAGGGACTCACTATGCAGCTTGGGCTGGGCTTGAACTCATTTTGTAGCTCAGGCTAGTTTTGAACTTACAATAATCCTCCTGCCTCAGCCTTCCAAATGCTGGGATTATAGGTGCGTGCCACCACTCCCGGCTCTGACTTTTCTTTCTTTCTTTCTTTTTTTTTCTTCCTTCTCACATCTTTCTTTTGTTTTATTTAATACTGGGGAGTGAACTCAGGACTTTCACACTGAACTACATCCCCAGCTTTCTTTAAAAAAAGTATCCCCACGCAGCTTTTTTTTTTTTTTTTTTTTTTTAAGGTAAAAGATTTACTCCATCTGAAGAGAAAACAGCGTATACCTGCCTTTTTAAAAGACAGGCTCTCTGATAAATCACTAACTTGCCTCACTTGGGCTCAAATTTGCAGGATTCTGCCTCAGCCTCCCAGAGTGCTGAGATTACAGGCCTGTAACCCACCTGGGCTGGCCACCCACCCTTTAGACATGAACAGGACCTCTGCTATGGCAGTAGGTGGGAAGTTCATGTTTGTGGCTATGGACAGAGAGATGGGTTTGGTGGCGGGAGTCCACTCAGCTGCTGTAACAAAGAGACCTGGAAAAGAGATGCTTAAATTTTTTCTAAGCAGCAGCAGATAAGCTAGCTAAAGCTGGGGGTGACACTTTTTAAGACACCATGTACGTGAATCTTCACCCTTTCTATATTTTATCCCTACTCTCCTCAATTTAAGCCCCAAACAACCTACCTACCTAATAGCTGGAAGGACACACCTCTTCAGTCTATAAGGGGACCGGACGGAAAGTGCATACGTCACTTCCTCAGGTTTTCCCATTGGACCATACTTAGTCACATGTCAAGTCTCACAGCAAAGGAGGGCGGGAGATGTAGTCCTCAGCAGGAAAGCTAGGTGTACGCCTGAAAAGAATGGATGCCAGGGGCTGTAGAGTCATGACAGTGAGAGAAATAAAAGTGAGCCCAGCAGGGGCTTCCATATCCAGGGAGTGGCCTGTTCAGAAATGGGTTGGATCAGGATGAGGAGTGCTGACACTGCTGGGCAAAAAAGAGTAAAAGGTAAGTTTTATGCTAGGTGTATTTTAGCATGAGTTTTTAAACAGCACTGGGATTTGGAGTAAGGGAGAGAAATTGCTCAGAAGCAGCAGTAAGGAATAGGGAGCCGGGGCCTTGGAGCCAGCAGATTTCTCTGATAGAATTGAAAAAGGCTGAGAGCAGGAGGTATGGGGTAGAATGTGCTGCTGACACATAGTGAGAGGCTTGCTCAAAGCAAGAAGTGTGGCCCGCTGCAGAACAGAAAAGAGCAAAGAACAGGCGCACAGGAGGAAAGACACAGGCTGCAGACATAAAGAAAGAGCTGGCGGCAGCTCGGCTGCTGATGAGATGTGGGAGCCAGGGGCAAGGTCCGGGGAGTGGCGCGCTGGTCCCTGGGTGACCGCGTGGGTGATGCCAGCTCTGCTGGGAATGCTGCGACGGGGGTACTGAGTCCATAGGATGCCCAGGTCTGGGCTGGCCTCCGAGGTGGGAGCAAAGTGGAACTTGAAGCCAAGAGAGATGCAGCTGGCTGAAGGGGACTCGGTGGCCACGGGGGACAGTAACCATGCCTGGTTTCGCTGTGGGAGGAGGAGACAGGGAAGTGTTGTGGTGTCCAACACACAAGCACACAAGGTTTTTCTAGAAAACAAGAGGTCATAAACATGGGTAAAGACTGAAAGGAAAGGACCAGAAGCAGGGACTTCCATATCTAGGGAATGGTCAAGCAAGGAGCCTGAAAGGGCAGGATTGGGGACTGCCTCAGTTTCCCTACAGGAATAGGGTGTGGAAAACCAGGTCAGCCAACTTGGGCAGCCCTCAGCAGAGCAGCTGTCCTCTCCGTGGGTGCTCCCAGCCTCTGTTTCCCTCTCTAGCCCTAGGCCCGTCTGAGTGACTCCAGCCCAAGACCCAGGCCACTCTGCCAGTCCTCAGCCAACACCAGCCATGACTTGGGGTTGGCCTGTGGGTCCCTTTCCTTCTGCAGTAGTGTCACCCTTCTCCCATGGACCATGCCTTCAGCAGCCCCCAGCCTGGGCTAATTCACATCACCAGAACCCCTTCGGCATGACTCCAAAGCATTGCTGTACCCTGAGGGGTTCTCTGACTTCCGTGGCTAATACTCCTCCATGTGTGCAAACTCTTCCATCTCTGCAAACCGCTGATTGACTTATATTTCATAATAGTGAAATCTTTGATTTGTTATAAAATGTACACATTAATGTTTTAACTTTCCAATAAACTATAATATTTCACTAATAGGCTTAATTTTGATTAATATAATACTAAAAACAGTATGATATGATACATTTATTTTTTTAAAGGAAATGTATATCACTAACATTAATGGAAAATGATGTCACTCTCCTAAAGAGAAAGTAGTCATAGAAGTAGATTTAAATTCTAGCTGGACTCTAAGGCCTGTTCAAGGTTCTAAGCCTTGGCCTGCAGCTGTCCATTAGAAAGAGGACTTGGGAAGTGTCAGTTGCTAAAGATACAAGGACATCGAAAGGGGACTCTCCTTGACCTCTCCAGAGGGAAGGAAAAGGATTAAAAGTTGTTACTCTCAGATGGGCGTGGTAGTACATGCCTGTAAATCCTAGAACTCCTACAAGAATGAATCCTAGAATCCTAGAATCCTAGAAGCTGAGGCAGGGGGATCTCAAATCCAAACTCAGCCTGGACAACTTAGTGAGATTCTGTCTCAAAAAATTCAAAAAGGATGAGGACGTTACTTAAAACAAAGGCCTTGGGTTCAATCCCCAGAACCAAAAAAGAAAAGTTACTGTCCCATGGAGAGCCCCCACTGAGGGAATTTTCCAGCCCACTATTCTGGGAGACAAACAGGCTAGGGGCCATTGCTCCCACTTTACAGATGGGAAAAATTGAGAGACAGATGGACATCCGCAGTGTCCCTCATCTCAGGCCTTCTCCTCTGGGAATCCCAGGGAACCCCCTATGACCAGTTTGGGGGCCACTTCAGGTCTCCCACAGATGCAGCACTGTAGCCCCGGGAGACCAGGGTGGAATGGGACGCCCTTCCCTAAACTGGGGTCAGCCCATGGTTCTATGCCCAAAGTCCCCGGACCTCCTGGCTCAGGAGATAGCGCTGGGCTGGACTCGGGATAAACCAGGCTATTTTCATCATTTCCTTCCTCCCTCTGGCAGTGGCTGGCAGCCACTGCCTCTCACAGTGCTGCCACCACAGGCTTCACCAGGTCAGCACAAGTCACAGAGTGGTGCTCCGATCAAAGGCTTCGCAGGTAAGCAGCCTCCTCATCATCCAGCAGGCCCCCCGAGTGGCTGACAAGGAGAGGGGAGCCACCTCCAGCCCTAGGTTCACCAGCTGAGTCTGTGAATGTTGACTGAGGCATGCTGGGGGTCAGTCCTGGTGGGGAAAGTGTCGAGGAGGGGACCCGTCAGACGGCTGGTCTGTGGGCACTCCGCTGGCCTGACCCCACTTTCGGTCTCTCCCAGAGTCTGGGGGCCATGGGCCAGGGCTGGGACTCACTGAGCTGTCACTTGTTACCCTCACCCCAAGCAGGGCCTGGGGTCTCTGCTAGGGAATCCCTACCCAAGAGCACACTCCACACCCAGCTGCCCTCCCTATCCTGCCTTTCGGGTGTCCAGCGAGGCTCCATGAGGCCTTCAGCTGCCACCTCATGCCAACATGGAGAAAGCTGAGGTCCGAGGAGGGAGGCAAGCAGCCCTGTGCTGGGTCCCACCAGCAGGCCCTTCCTCCCACCTCTGTCCCCACAGCCTGCCTGCCCGATGCCCACCTGGGGGCTCCTGTTCCTGCTCTGGACTGCAGCAGGGGCCTCACAGGAGGCCATGCGGGACTGCCCAGCCCCTTGCAGCTGCAGGTCCTTGGAAACCATGGGGCTGCACGTGGACTGTGAGGGGCGTGGGCTCACGGCCCTGCCACCCCTGCCCCCCGGCACACGCCACCTCCTGCTGGCCAACAACAGCCTGCGCTCCGTGCCCCCGGGCGCCTTTGACCACCTGCCCCAGCTGTGGATCCTCGATGTGTCGCAGAACCCCTGGCACTGTGACTGTGGCCTCACCTACCTGCGACTCTGGATGAAGGACCATATGCCCGACTCTCTGCAGGATGTCCTCTGTGCCAGCCCTGCCCGTGCTGCCCACCGCCCCCTGAATCAGCTGACAGGCTACCAGCTGGGCAACTGTGGCTGGCAGCTGCAGGCATCCTGGGCCCAGCCTGGGTTCTGGTGGGATGTGGCTCTGGTGGCTGTGGCAGTCGTGGGCGTGGCTCTCCTGGCTGGGCTGCTGTGTATCTCCACAGAGTCCCTGGGCTGAAATCAGGAGCCCACAGTCACCCCCTGACACTGGGGAAGCTCCCCAGAGCCCAGCGACTCTGCTCACCCCAAACAATCAGAAGCCCCCAAATAAACCAGCCACTTAGCCATTGTACCTAAGCTTGTTTTCTGTTTTCTCTCAGCACCTCAATCCAACTCCTCCTACAACCCTGCATTCATCCTGTTATAATTGGATAGTGGTCAGGGCATCTCTGTCCCTCGAGTTCCCAGGAGCATGAGCCATCCTTAGCTCCCCCATCCAGTCACCTTGGACCATCTCTCGATGTCCAAGCCAGGTCATGGAATCTGATCCTCATGGCCTCTGCTGTCTGCCACATGGGCTGCATGGGCTGACTTCACATCAGTATTCAGCCCCGTCTCCAAGTCCACAGGAAGCTTGCAGTGAGCAGGACGGGGCATGCTCTGTATCGGAGACCCCAGGGAGGGGATCTATCTCCGCAATCTAAGATCCATTCCCTCGAGGATTTCCAGCAATGGCCCCTCAAGTTAAGTACAGTGCCAGCTAGGGTCACAGGATGCCACCAGGAAGATCAGGCGGGCACAAACTAAGGCTAGAGTTCACTGACCCACAGAGGTCAGGAAGGGGCAGAGGCCCCAGACTCAGAGTACAGAGAAGCAAGGAAGGGTGGGGATTGTAGCAAACCAGGGAGCCCATGTTCCATCCAGGGGGCTGCCAGAGAGGCTGCAGACCTTGATTTTTATTGTACAATCTCTGTTCTATCAGTGTTGGTGACTAAAAAAATACTTTAAAAAAATATGCATCAGCAGAATGAATGAAGCACCTCAGTCATCTGGACACGCTTTAAGGGCTGGTTTACGGTTTCTGCATTAGAAGTCAGCCCTTACACCATCTGGCTGCCTAATAAGAGTCACTACACCACTAGAGCTGTTACACCACAGGCTGCCTGCACTCTGGGAGAAGCCCCTCACGCTCTTGGTGATCATGGAAACCAGCCTGGCCAGCTGATGTCCTCCTTCCAGGGTGTGGAGGAGGGGCAGGTGTGTCGCTGGCCACATGCATGGCCTCTTTCACAGAGGAACAGTGCCCACTCAGGAGCTTTGGGAGCTTTGGAGTTCCCTGGAGCTAAGGTCCTTCTTCCCCTAACTCCCATGTAGGGTACAACTCAGGTGATCCATCCTTAAATTCTGTCCCACCCTACTCTCTCCAACTGTTTGTCAATCTGCCAGGGGCCCCCCAGCCTCCCTGAAGCCTGAGTCCTGGAAGCTGGGGAGGGGCAGAGGAACCTCAGTGGCTAGGCACGGGTTCCCCAAAGTGGACAGCTGGTTCTGAAGCTCCAGGAAGCAAGAGCACTGCGAACCCCGGAAGCTCCCCACCCATCTCCTTCCATAGAGATCTGGAACCACGAACACAGAACGGGCTGTTGCTTGAGTCTGACATGTCCCCTAAAGGCCCGTGACTGTGGTCCCCAGCCTGGAGGCAGGGACTAGAGGAAGGAGGATATGGGGGTGCCTTGAAGGGGATACTAGGCCCCCTCTTTGCCTCCCAGCCACCCTGAGGTGGGTAGCTTTCTCTGTCACACAGTCCTGTCATAAGGGGTCACCTCATTATGAGCCCAAAAGCTCCTGGGCCAACTGACCATGAAACTACAGATCCAAACGAATCTTCCCTAGACAATATGATCATAAGTTCAAACGACTTGGTGACTCAGCAAAACCCTGTCTCAACATTGAGAATTTTTTTTTTTTTGAGTACCAGGGATCGAACTCAGGACCTTGCACTTTCCAGGCAGTCGCTGTGCCATGTGAGCTATATTCTTGGCCGTATATCAGTATTTAAAGGGCAGAAGGTGTTGCTCAGTGTGAAGGTTTAGGGTTCAATCCCAGTAGCACATGAGACACACACAAAGTCATTTATGGATGATAACAACTTATTTCTCATTGTTCAGAAGGCTGGTAAGTCCCAGATCGAGGCACCAGCATTCAGCACGTGATGAGGACCCTCTAGCTGCAGAAGACTGGGGGGGACCAAATGGGCCATTCCCTCCAGCCCATGACTTGGTCACCTCCAAAAGCCTCCATTTCTAAACACTGTTGGTGGGAAATCAAGTTTCAATGCACAGATGGGCAGGGCAGTGGGTGCCGGGTACACTTTCAAACCACACCCCCACCACTGTCAGCCTGTCTCCATCTTACACTGGCAAGGCTGCCACAGAGGGCCATCTGCACCAGCCCCACCCTTCCCACAGCACCCCCCACCCTGCTGGCCACCACTATCCCTAGGGGCAGACTACAGTCAGCTGTGGAAATGCTTCTCCCCTCCTTCCCCAGAGGAATATCCTCCACCACCACCACGGCATGGGTTGACACAGACCCACCATCCCACGGTGTCAAGGAGCTGTCCCTGGCACAACTGTTATCAGTGGGGCTCCATGCACTAGCACACCTCACGCCCATGCTAAGCCACCTGCCAACCCAGCTGCTGTCATTGATCTGTCCTGGGCTCACTGTAAAATCACATCTTAGTCCTCTCCTTCTAGGGTTCTATTAAGACCCACCTGCACACACAGCATCTGCTCAGGGGCCTGCTACCCACTGCTGGGACTCCCTGGCCGCCTGCCCTCAGCTCATCTCACCACTCCTGCCCAGTGTGGGCAGTGGCCTGCCGGGAGGCCAGCACAAGGAGCTGGCTTCAGTGCATGCCAGCGTCCAGGTTCCCGAGGATTCCTCTGCTGTGCTGCATACCTCTGACCAGTGGGAGAGAAGAGGCGAAGAAGACAGCACAGTGCCCAGAGGTGACAGCCAGGCCCCAAGGTGACACAGATCATGCTGACAGGCATTTGCCACCTGGATTCCAGGCGCTGGCATGGCGCCAGCCATGAGGGCAGCCCCGAAATGTGCTCTCCCTGTGTGCCCAGAAGCAGCCACAGCTGAGTGTCTGGCTGGCGACTGCCCCAGCTGCCTCTGCAGAAAGCAACTGAATCCTGACTGGATCCTCAAAAGGATGCATTGCCGAAAGGTCTTTGGGGAAAAACAGGCACTTTCCCATTGCATGTGCTGTGTCTAACAGCCAGCACTGGCACCCGACGCAGCACACACCTGATGGGACCTGACAGGGTGGCCCGCCCACACCTCTTGTGAGCACATTGGTGCTCAAATTCCCTCTCTGGCAAAGAACACACTTCATTTCTGAACCACTCCCAGAGGTGTCTGGGGGTGAGGCCTCGTGGCATGGGGCATGGGTTGGGGAGGCAGGCAGGGCTGGCAGCAAACTCCATGGGCCCACGGGAGAAGAGGCAGAGCTCTCCAGAGGGCTCCTGGGCTCGGTGGGTGGGGAGCCGCTCAGAACCTAGACTCATTTCTTCCCATCCAGCCACCCCTGTGCGTCCCACCCCCCCAGGACCATTCAAGAGAACAGAGGTAGGAAGGGTGTTTGGGCTGGGGTGTGGCTCAGCATGCTCACCCAGCATGCACCAGGGTGTGGGTTCCATCCACAGTGGGTGGGGGGTAGTAGAGTCACTGATGGGGGGGCTCACCTGCAGTCCCAGATGTGTGGGAGGCTGAGGGCTGGGGAAGCGTTTGAGCCCAGGTGCAGCCATTTGGATCAGGAGTGAGCCTGTGCCCCAGTGACGGCTCTAATGGGGACCAGTGGACCCTTTAGGAGGTGTGGCCTATAGAAGGAAGTTAGGTGGCGTGGGGTGTCTTGTGCCCTGGAAGGGATATAAGGGTGCAAGTTTCTTCTTCCTCTTTGCTTCCTGGCTGCTCCGAGGTGAACATACCTCCTCTGCACATGTTCCTGCCCTGAAGCCACCATGGCCCAAAGCAACAGGACCAAGTAACCATCGACTGAAACCTCTGAATCCGTGAGCCAAAAATCTGTCCTTCTCCTATCAGTTGGGTTATCGGAGGTATTTTGTTACAGCAACAGAAGGTTGAGTCACACACCCAGAGAAAAGGCCAGCCTAGGTGGTGCAGCCAGGGTTCCAACTCAAACAAACATCTCGGTGCAGTAGTGCACTCTCCTCAGTCCCAGCTTCTTGGGACGCTGAGGAGGGAGGATTGCTCAAGGTCAGCCTGGGTAAAACAGCAAATTCCTCTCTCCAGTCAATCCATCTATCCCATGGAAAAGCGTATTTTGTACCATGTGGGACTTACTTACCTGGATGAATTTTGTAAGAGGAATTTTTTTTTTTTGAGAGTAAAAAGCAAGATTTGGGAGTATGTTGTCTTTGTGTTTGTTAGTTTACAGTACTGAATATTGAACCCAAGGCCTTTGGTTTACACTGAGTTACCTTTTGGTCTATTTTTTTCCTTTTCATTTTGATAGAGCCTGGCTATGTTGCTAAGTTGCTTAGGCCGAGTTCTTGCAATCCTCCTGCCTCAGTCTCTGTTTTGAGGAGAGAGGAGGAGTCCAGGATGAAATCTCCAGGCAGGCTACTTGTCCTGGATTGGTTCTGTGTAAGCTCAGCCCCCAACTCACCCCCACCAGTAGACAGCTTTGGGGTGAACTTTTGCACCTAGCAGCATGGTGACTCTGGAGCAGAGGGGCGTGGGTCCCAGTAATGACTATCATGTGGCTAGTGCATTAATGGGTGACTTTAAGGAACACAGTGTTTGTCTTTTCTCTGGAGAGGTTGGGGAAAGGGGCCTGAGAGGCTCATGGAGGAGATGCAAGTGTGGAAAGGAAAGTCTACCAGTGACTCAGAGGTGTGTGGATGGATGGATTTGGGGAACCCTGAATCTAGAGCACAGGGCCTGTGGAAAGAGGCTTGCAGAAGGCTGTTGGCGATTCAGCCTTACAATTACAAATGGGATGTCTCCTCCTGTGAATGGGCAGCAAGCGTGCTGGGTCTGCGAGGAGCCCACCAAGAAGAAGGCGCCATTTAGTTCTTCGGGTGAGCTGTGCAAACCATACGGGGCCCAGGAAGACAGAAGCCAGATAGCACCTCCCGGGAGCCAAGGGGCGTGCAGGCTAAGAATCAAGGACTCATCCACCCCAACCCCATAGGCAACCGGCTGGGTCAGTGGCAGGTTGGGTTGATAGCAACTGAGGTACAAAAAGCAACTGAATCCTAGTATTGTTTGGTTGACTTTGCAGGCCTGAGGCCAGCAGTCTGAGCTCCTATAGGGAGGATA